CTTTCACAAAAGCCTTGCAAACGTATGACTTATTTCTACAATCTATGCCACAGCTACTTCTGGATTGTAATCCGCCTTTGCACTTGCTCCAGGGTAATTTGGGTCCTTACAGTAAGTTTTTTTTATGCTACCTTTCTATCACGTTCCTCATTCAAAATCTAGTCATACCTTATCACCCTTGTTGCCAATTTGAACAAGTCTCTGTTTCAGGTAAAACCACCTTATACTTGAAACGAGGTGCTTTGAATCTAGAAATGTGGGCTTCAAATGTTTTTCCTGGAACTTGGTCCATCCTTGATAAATCCGCCATGGCCCATCCTTGATAAATCTGCCATGGTAACTTCTGGTTCTAAACGATAAAAATGTTAGTGGATTACCTCATCTATTTGTTGCTGAGATAGAATGAAATTAAGAGGTAGATTAATGTACGAAGTGAAAACAGTGCTAGTAAGTGAATTGGCAAACTACCTTATCTTCAAAAAGTTATTGCCTCCTGCCTCTCCACACTGAACAATGAATCTGGCTATGTGTTCAACTATTGAGCGCGTATCTTCTTTTGAGAATAGTATGAACTCAAGAACTTTTAACCTCTAGGAAACTCCACAACTAATTCTAATACTTCTAGGTAGGGCTTTCTGTAAATAGGTCTCCCTATATGCTTGAATGTCGGACCAAATTGTTCTTGAATCCACTCTAGAATCTGCTCCCTGTTTAGAAGAGGATTATGCTGCTGAATATGAGACACTGGTAAATACGGATAAGGTACAGAAGGTTGGACAAAAGCATTTTGTCCCCCGAGACCTACTACAGGAGGATTGGACAATGGGTTTGGTGCCTCCCATGTTAGTGCAACAAAGTCTTCTAAAAGAGCCCTCTGACCTTTTGGCTAACCTATAGGAGGATTAACTTGTCGGTCTGGGGTCTTCTGGGTAGATTTCCCCGTGTCTGTGACTCTAACTATTGATGCAAGGGTGGAAGTTGATGAACCTTACAATTTCCAAGAGGTTGTGGATGATCAACTGTTAGACCTCTAGGTAGGTTGCCTTCTGGTTGCTATCAAATGGTTCCAAACTGTAGGGTAACCGACTAAGTAGACAGCTGCATTCTGTCTCCAAACATGGCCACCATCTTGTTGATGGCCCTAGAAAGCTCTTGATTTACCTTATTCAACTTATTAAAGGGTCATGAGATGTCCTGAGAAACCTTATGATTTCCTCTCATGATACATGTTCTAAGCTCCTCAGTCACACTCTGCAACTTCTGAGAAAAAGCTTGTTGTGCTGCAAAAGGATTTGCTAACCCTGAACCAGAACTGTCTAAGCCTCCTCTAATGGGCTAGCCTACTAGATTCTTTCCTCTACCTTGTCCTAACATCTTCCCCTAGTAACTCCCTATGGTCCCCCAGGCAAGGCGAAAGATGTTTGTATAAAAATGTGAATTGTGGCTAACACAAGAGGATTTGGTGGATTACAGATATGCCAAGCAAAGTATTACCTATGTGAATGAAAATGTGGATGGAAAATATCTGACTTTCTAAAAACAGGGGATTGCGTCCTGGTTCTTTTTATTGGTTCAATGAAGAGAACTTAAAATTTCCAAAGAGTTTGAAAAATCAAGAAGAATGATAGGTAGAAGGAAATAAAATGTACAACACTAACTTTTATATATTCAACTAGATTGAACATACAAAAGCACGAGAACAGTTTAAAGAACATAAAATTGAGTTACAAATGGAATATAAACACAACTTAGACCTCAAAACAATACCAATGATGGAATAAATAATTAATTGAAACAGATGCCAAGAACTAGGGCTAAATTATGGCAAATTTGCCTTTCAAAACTACTCCTAAGTTAACCTAGGTCTAAACTAGGGCTAAAAAAGCACTGGTGTTTTGTAATATATTGTTTTGATTGATTGATTGAGTGGGGTTTGTTCTATCTTCAAATGAAGTATTTATAATCGTTGGAGCCTTCTAAAAATCTAGAATCACCTCTAGAAAATCTACAACAACTTCTGTTAGTGAGGTGCTGGATCTCCTCCTAAATTGGCACCTGTCCCACTTGATTCCTCCTTTTTAGGATGTTGGTTGTGTATTCCCTAAGACTAGGCCTTGAATGTAACTACCTTCTGATCTGAGTTGCTAGGTGGAAGGACTAGGCCTTGGATGAATAACGAGTGTCCTCCATTAATCAAAGTGGTTGCATTAATGTAGCATTTGTTCGGAAATTTGAATTGTGACCATTGATACCTTAACTAGTGAAGCTCCTTGGCCTTTGGATACATGCCATGTGTCTCATTAAACAAATGCATTTATATATATAATTATCATTATTAATATATATATTGCACGGTTTATCACTCCCTATTCCCAAGGGATTTGCATCAATCATGGATTTGACCTATGATTGACTTGATCACTGAGCCCTAAGAACCATCAACTGCCATCCTTAGACCAACCTTGAGTTACCACTTGGACACATGGCAACTCCTCATTAGGCTGTCATTTTTTGTATGAACACATACATATAAATAAGTATATTTATAAAAATACATTGTATAATATAGTTTACGGACGAGCCAAGAGGATACCAACTTGAAGCAATTTTCCAAACCCTATCCATATTATAATTGGGCCTAAAAATTTGTCTAACCCGATGCTATAAATATAAACTATAATCCTAAACCCTATAAATCATAAGCAAGCTCGGGTGGCTTTGCATATCATTGAACCCATATCCATTCCTACATATGTAACCTATTGTTTGGAAACAAGAATTTCATTGAGAAATTATTTGGAATACACCATTTGACAAAAATCCTTTTAGTTATAATTTTATTCACTCTTTTGTTTCAATAAGACTATGAGTGTTTAGATGCGAATCCAATTCGAATTGTGTCTGTGTAGAAGAATTTGTACTGACATTCTGTATCTTAAGTATTTTAGTGTCTCTGCCTACATACTGAACTTTTGAAAAATATGTTTCACCGCTCGAGCAATGAATGTTGCGCACGAGCGGTTGGCCTATATGTGAGTACTGCCTTTTAGTCACACCGCTTAAGCGGTAAAGTGTATGCTTGAGCAGTAATCGTGATTCTGTTAAGTATGGTTTGCTGTTTTTAGGATTGAATCCATTTAAATTCTCAAAGAAAAGAGTTATCAAGGTTTTCTATATTGAAAGGTGTTTATAAATTGATTTCCTCGATGATTTGGGAGTGATTAATAGATCTATGAGTTTCATATTGACATCATCAAGGATTTTGTTTTCATTATTTCATTCATAAAAAAGAGAGGTGTTCTTCGGTAGATTCCAAGGAACTTGAACCTGAAGCTTTGGTGGATTTCAGAATGTCTCATCAACATGGATTCGATACCGACGTTGTGGATTCAACGTTGAGCAAAGCAATTCCAAGGTGAAGACAGTGGTGGAAGAGGCACATCGAGTTTGGTTCAATTGAAGCATAGATTCACTAGGTAATTGAGGATACTCGTGTATAATTCATTTTTGTCTTCTAAGTGGATTGTTTTGTGACTTTCACCTTTGATTTTTTTATCTCAATTGGAGATGCTGCAATTGTGTTTATTTCACATTAAATCATTGTGCTGATTTGTTGTTGACTGTTTTATTGAGATTGATATTCACTGTTTAAAATTGAAATATAATCACGAATCATTATCTAGAGGGTTTTTAGATTTTTCAAAATTATTTTAATTGATTGATTTATTTATTTTTGTGAAAATTTTTATTTTTGCATAATCCCTTATTTCATCATAAACTCAAGGTACGGTAGAAATTTGGTATTTCCTATGAATCCAATAAGTAGATTTTTATAGTTAATCAATCAAAATAATCAATCTTTTAGAATTAGTTTTTATAAAATAATTATATTTGTCTTTCGACTATGAATACCCTTTTTGTTTATTTTAATTGAGTTATACAAATTAAATATGAAATATTTTAATAGAAACACTAATGGAGGAATCTTAATATCTTAGTACCTTTTGATTATTTTTACATGAATTTATTTTTTAGAAAATTATTATTTGTTTTCCCAAAACCATTCAACTTTAAAATTTAAAAAATTAAAAAATTAAAAAAAATTCCTATTTCTTTATTTGTTTTGATTGTTTAGTTTTTATATTGAATATATTGGTCATCGTGGATCAATCTCTGACCGACAGATATATGACTTAGTGGCATCTTGCATTTAGGATTGTAATACAAAAGTTGCAAAAAATAATTTTAATCTATACTTTTCAATTATTAATCTTCTACTTGCACAAAACTACACAACATTTCATAAAAGGGTTCTTGGGTAGTATTGGACTAATATTTCATACCATTACTTGTGATATTGTCTCCGAAAACAACAATAAAGCAGTGATTTTTAATATTTAAACCAATAAAAATTAAGTTAAAACATCACACCATGTCCCATAATAGTAAATAATTTTGCCAATATGTCTATGTGATGATTTCCCAAGAGACAGGTAGGACAAGCTTATGTCAAGGTGTCCCAAGTGAACTTTACATGCTAACAATCATAGATACAAGGGAACCAAAAACATGATTACAAGGGCACTCCATTCGAAGTGTAGTTTTATAACACCTCATCGCTCGTCTCACATCTCACATTAAAAATTTATATAAGTAATTTTTGACATATAAAGTATCACTATTTTATTAGTAAGTAATTGGACTTAAACTTTTGAGTCATATTGTCAAATCCAAGTTATTTAATAATAAAATAATGATATTTTATATGTCTAAAATCACTTATACAAACTTTCAATATAAGACGGAGTGTTATTAGTTTTCATTCTTTTTACTCCTTCAAAGATGATGTTGGTGATGGTGTCTTTTTGAGTGTGATGTGAAGGTCACTTTTGTAATTTCACTAAAAGCAACATTTTTTACTTTGCCTTTGAAATTCGATTCTCTCTCCTCTTTGGCTTTGAAATTTGAATCAATCTTTTTCTCCCTCTTTCTCTCTCTCTCTCTCTCTCTCTCTAAATCTTCAGTTGGAATAATTTATTCATTCAGTCATGCCTTCTGCCAAAGCAAAAGCAGGGTGTGCAATAAAGAAGAAAGAAAAAGAAAACAAAGGAGGGCATTGCCAACTCATCTTTGAGTCACAAGTTGAAGCAAAAGGCTCCACATCCTCATCACTCTCCTCTTGCTACTCCTACCTAGATGAACAACTCCCAATCTCACGTTCTCTTCTTCCTCCACCTCCACCTTCCACCTCATGCTCATACTCCCACTTCTTGGCTTTGTTCATGCAACATCCCAAGAACTCACAATCAAGGTATGCCCAAGACACATTCTCTCTCTCTCTCTATCTCACTCTCTCTCTCTCTCTCTCTCTCTCTCTCCATTTTCTTATCATGTATTGTATGCAATATGTGTTCTTGATAACCCATCTTCAGCAGCATGCACACTGGAATTTTAGAGTTTTCTACAATCTTTAGACAGCTTACTCTTTATTAATATTGACAATTTTAGGTTGGTAGGTATTGTTCTTCCATGAGAGAATGGCTCTCTTATTTTGGGTTCAAGTTTTGAAACAAGGATATTTCACAAAAATTAAAGTTTTTCTTATGTTAAGAGACTGTTAATAATAAACAAATTTGTTGTTGATGAACAAATAACTCTTTTTTTTAAGTTGATAATTGTTGTTCCTGTGTGTGTGTGTTGAATAGATCTGTCGGGGATTTTTCAGGGTTGGGGAAATCCGATCCCCGTTAGGGAGCGGAGACGGTGAGGTGATAGGTTCCCTGCCGAGGATTGGGGGAGGGGACGGGGATTTTTTTACCTTCGGAGATCGAGGACAGGGACTGTCATTCCCGACCCTATCCCGGCCCATTGTCATTCCTAAATGTGTGTGTATGTATAGGTTAGAAATGGATTTGCAGAGAGAGACAGAGAGACAAAAAGAAAGTATAAGGTGGAAAAAGACTAGAGAAAGAGAACAGAGTTAAGTGAAGAAGACGACGAGAGGATAAGCAAAGTTTTGTATTTGGGGCAAATTTCATGTTGGACAGAAGGGTGATTAGCTGGATGTACACAACTCGACCTATCAATAATTGGGCTTAGCTTTAGTTTCACGGCTAGAATTGGGCTTTGCCTTTCCTAAGAACTAGCATATCATTCGTGCCATGCACAGATTGTATTTATAATTATTTATATATGTAAATTGTAGTTTTTAAATGTTTTCTTCTCTTTCTTTTTAAATGTCTTTTTTTTTTTTCTTTTTTATATTATATTAAAGTTTAATATTTTGATAATAATCATATGTGTTGGACTTTTCAATGAGTTAAATGTCTTTTTTTATTTTATATTATATTAAAGTTTAATATTTTGATAATAATCATATGTGTTGGACTTTTCAAGAAATTTTTTTTATGCTTGTTCTTAATGCATTAAAGTGTTATTATAAGGGATAATAATCATATGTGTTGGGACTTTTCAAGGAATTCATATGTGTTGGATTTCAAAGAATTTTTTTTATGCTTGTTCTTAATGCATTAAAGTGTTATTATGAGAGTAAAACTTGGGAGTTGGGAGAAGTTAATAAATGCTAAGATTATTTTTTTTTTAAATCAAAAAATCAGAAAATTTAGATTAGGAGATTGGAGCTCCCACAAACCTTAGGGCTAAAAACCCCCTTTTGCTTAATATATAGTATAGATAACTCTAATCAAACAATTAACTGCAAAATGTACTATCCATTTTATTAAAGGGAAAATTATATGCAGGTGAAAGTTGAAAACAAAAAATTACAAATACATGGAGAGTGTAAGTCTGTTTGTGGTGAGGTGCAAATAAAAAACTGTGGAGATACAAATGTCACTTGCACCTCTCCATGTGGTGATAGTTTTTTTGCTCAACTCTCACCTGCACATAGTTCCCTCTTTATTAAATTTTGGACAATGTTCATATATGATATGATATTATATTAAAATCATATGAATCACAATCCTAATAATTAATACAGAAAAATTCTTAAAATGGGAGAAAAATCTCCCAATCTTAGTGAGATACAAAATTTGATTAAAGATTTAGCTAGTTAATGGAGATGCGATACATACTACTTAGACCAATGTGTGGGCTTAGCCGGAGAATGAGGCCTAGAATCAGACTTGGGTTGGGAATTCATAACATTGTCTTCTGTTTTCTGTGGTTGGGCTTGAACCTTGGTCATCTTGAACCTCACCACTTGACAAAAAAAAAAAAAAAAAAAAAAACCCTAATCACCTAAACATGCACAAACACACAATTGGATATTGCTTCTCTTTCCTTTGGTTAGCTAGTTAATGGAGATGCCATGCATACTACTTAGACCAATGTGTGGGCTTAGCTGGAGAATGAGGCCTATAATCAAACTTGGGTTGGAAATTCGTAACATTGTCTTCTGTTTTCTTTGGTTGGGCTTGAACCTTGGTCATCTTGAACCTCACCACTTGACAAAAAAAAAAAACCCTAATCACCTAAACATGCACAAACACACAATTGGATATTGCTTCTCTTTCCTTTGGTTGACATTGAAACTTGAGAAAATATGACTAAATAGTAAAATATGATTGGTTATAAATGTGGTTTCATGAGGTCAGTTTCCTTTCCTAGATGTCTAAACACCCTAAATATTAAATATTAACCCATTGTTCTATAGTGCATGAAGAAAAGCAAAAATGGCATGGCACATCTTGTGTATTTTTTTGGCTCTGTCTAATATTAATGTAATACGCAGTAGGAAACCTTGGTATCAAAAAGCAATGGAAATGGCCAACATATGGAAAACCTTTCCGAAATCCACGAAAATCCCCACGACGAATGCAACTCTATGGAAAACCATTTCTAGATCAACCGAGGTCTCAACTACAAATTCCAACAGGCAGAAACTACGAAAATGCTCTTCTCTAAAGGTTGCAACCACGTTCACACGAGTCTGTTTATGTGCACCAATCTCTTCCTACACCGAGGTTTTCCAAGCAGAGGTTCCACCAAGAAGAAGCAATAGTTATCCGAGATCAAAGCCATTTCCTACCCAACAAGAAAGAACTCCAAGTGCAAGAATTAGTATAGAAGGGAGGAGAATTTTTCGGGGAAAATCTTTGACCGATGATGTTTTAATGAGGAGATTTGTTGTGGCAGAAGAAGCAATGATGCAAGTTAGAAGGAGGAATCAAATGGAAATAATCAGGAAGAGAGCTTCCATGAGAAGGAAAATGCTTGGACCAAGCCCTCTAAGTAGAATGGTTTTGGCTGAAGAGGAATGAGAATTAACTAGGAAAAGCTCTATGCTTTCATTTGTTCAAAGAAAATTGATTTTTTTTTTTTTCTCTCTTCTTCTCCTTTTTAGTTGCCTTATTTTCTTGTGGCTTTTGATGGGTAATTTCTATTCTCTTTTCCTATGAAATTAAACTGGTTTGGTTGTGTTTTATGGTTTCTTTTCTTTTCGGTTTCATTTTCTTGAAAACGCATTGTTTGGCGAACTGTTTCAAGAAATTGGATTGGGAAAGTTCTGAAAAACAATCACTTTTAGGAAACATCAATAATAGTTTTTTGAATTTTTGAAATTGAGTGAATTGAAATGATAGTGTTTCCAAACATTTCATTGTTTTTGTTCATGGAAACACGAAAAACAAAGAAAACAAAAGCACAACCAAACAACATATGGTTTCAACCTAGAACTTTGTCTATTTCAAGAATATGTGGAAAAGTTTGTAAATCGGAAAGTTGAATGCATGTCATCAAGTTGATTTTGTTGCATTTGAGCTCTCAATGATGTTAGAGAATATTTGTAAAATGTACTGGTGATGAAAACTCTTGCAATGTTTGCATGAATTCAGATTACACCACCTTGTTGATTAATTATGTTTAAAAAATAATTACAAATAAGTGGTAAACTTTTTTTTTTTTTTAATTGGCGAAAGTCTTTGTTGATAAAAAAGGAAACTCAGAGAATTAGGAATTCAACTTTAGAAGACCTTCACAGACTTACAGGTTTGTTAAGGTCTGCTCCTAACCTCAACATGAGTGGTAAGGATAAACCAACATGGTTAGTAGCCCAAACAGGCAAGCCCTTTGTCTCAACCCTTTACAGACATACAGATTTAGCAATGGGTGAGCAGCTAAGACCTAGTAGATTGGTGTGGCTGAATTATCTTCCACCCAAAGTGCAATTTTTTGGGTGGCTTGCTTGGATACACAAAGGTAAAAACCTCTTCTTTCCTGCAGAGGATTGGAGTTCTAGATGGGAGTGCATCTATCCTTTGTGTCTTCTGCAAAGCTAAACAAGAGTCAGATGAGCATGTACTTTCTCTATGCCCTATGGTTTGGAAGGTTTGGACTAGTTTGTTGAAGTGGTGGGGAGCACAATGGGTAGTACCTGGATCAGTTGAAAGTCTGTTGCAGTGGTGGCTTGGAAATAGGTTCAAGAAATTAGAAAAGAAGATATGGAATGCTATACTTTTAGTTGCCCTCTGGTCCATGTGGAAGTGCAGAAATGAATTCCTGTTTAATGGCATTCAACCAAGGATGGGAGAGCTGCAGGAATCCATCATCATTAGATTAGCTATCTGGCTGAAAGCTACATCCAAGGATCTGCAATACTCTATCAATGACTTTTTGTTCAATATTTTGCAGATTAGAGCTTGTATAGATGGTAGGCTGTAATTTGTCTGTTAGCTCATGGGGCTATTTTTGAGTTGTACCAAGTTGGAATCTCTCTAACTCAGTTTGTGGGCTTGTGTTGCACATGATTAGTCTGGCTTTGGGTACCAACATAGTTGGATGTTTTGCTTCAACAATGATGCAATTTCCCCCAAGCTATTTTTATAACATCTTTCTTTTAATAAAATTTGATTTTTCTTGCAACTCAAAAAAAAAAAAAAATCAATCGTGAGCTAGCCGGCGGGTGTGTGTCGGATACCTCCCCGATGCCTAAGTCAGCAAAATAGGCAAATAAACAAAAGCTCTATGTATTCGGGAATCAAAGTTGCGTTACCTCTCCATAGGTTCTGTTGTGAGCTTTTTATAGGTTCCGTGTGGCACAATCCTAGTAGGACTCTTATTCCTTCACTTAGAGTCCTCCTAGGAATCACACTCTTGAAAAATAATGCTTATCCTTCAACACCCCCCTCACTGCTTAAACCCAGTGAGATGGTTTTACCTCGGTTGGATGGCAATACGACCGAGCTAACATTAGCCCTTTGTCATACTTAATCCAACGTCTTCACATGCAACACATAGCTCGGCTCGCCTTCCTTGTACCTCGGTTTTGGCCTGTTGAGACTGAGCTAACTATGCCAAACTTCGACCGAGCTAACAAGAGCAAGGTCCTCAGGAAGCCCAAATACCTTAGCATCGAATATTATGACCGAGCTAATTATCACCACTCCGACCGTGGTAACTGTAACCATTCTTGGACTGAGCTAACTACAAAAGTCCTCTTTACTAGGCCCTTTTTTCACCGCGGCCCATAGAACGGCCCATCATGACACCTTGGCCTAGCTCGGCCCTAATGCACATAAAAACTCCCTCCCACCAACCTTGATGCTTGTGCTAGCAAATGATCGAGTATGCTTCGCGGTGCCAACCTAGTTGGGACCGTATAGCTTTTCTTTTTTTCTTAAATATCTGCTCAAAAAAATACATGTCCAGACCTTCAAGAGAAAGGTTAGTAGTGGTTATCCTATCTATATCAAGGGAAACTAATAATTTTTCAGCTTCTCCACAGCAACCAACTTCATTAGCTTTATCATTTTTTCTCCTTTTAATAATTTTCCTTGTCATTTTTTTACCAATCAAATCTTATTTAGTTTGCATCTCAAGTGAATGTTAAGTATTGGACGGTTAAGGATTATTTATTTATTTGACAATAAACAACAATTATTTACAAATATTATGATAATGATATTAAACTCAACATTCAATTTAAGAAAGTTCAATTTCCATAAATTAAAAAACGAACTTAATAAAGTTCAATACATGATAGCAACATCAAACAAGACATTCAAATTAAGAAAATGATGAAGCAAATATGAACAATAGTAAAATCGCATAAAAAAAAGTTGTAACTCTTTTACAACCTGCTGAATCTGAATATTATTAGAATTATACGAAAAAATAAAAGAAATCTCTCTACAAAACTTTATTAATCAATATTAAGTTAAAACTAAAGAACTGTACGAGCACGAAATAATGTTCTCGTATAATCTTGTTGATCAAGTCTGCGCTCCTCCAAACGTCGTCGCTTTACTCCCTGAAAACACAATCGTGAGCTAGCCGGTAGGTGTATGCCGGATACCTCTCCGATGCTTAAGTCAGCAAAATAGGCAAATAAACAAAAGCTCTATGTATTCGGGAATCAAAGTTGCGTTACCTCTCCATAGGTTCTGTTGTGAGCTTTTTATAGGTTCCGTGTGGCACAATCCTAGTAGGACTCTTATTCCTTCACTTAGAGTCCTCCTAGGAATCACACTCTTGAAAAATAATGCTTATCCTTCAACACCCCCCTCACTGCTTAAACCCAGTGAGATGGTTTTACCTCGGTTGGATGGCAATACGACCGAGCTAACATTAGCCCTTTGTCATACTTAATCCAACGTCTTCACATGCAACACATAGCTCGGCTCGCCTTCCTTGTACCTCGGTTTTGGCCTGTTGAGACTGAGCTAACTATGCCAAACTTCGACCGAGCTAACAAGAGCAAGGTCCTTAGGAAGCCCAAATACCTTAGCATCGAATATTATGACCGAGCTAATTATCACCACTCCGACCGTGGTAACTGTAACCATTCTTGGACCGAGCTAACTACAAAAGTCCTCTTTACTAGGCCATTTTTTCACCGCGGCCCACAGAACGGCCCATCATGACACCTTGGCCTAGCTCGGCCCTAATGCACATAAAAACTCCTTCTCAATTGCCCCTTAATTCCATCTGCGTAGCATGATTGGGATTACTTGTTACCAACCAAGCTAAAAGTTCAGACCTTCAACCGAGCTAAATTGTCACCGGGCTACCGATTTGCCCGATCAAAAAACGTCCCTTCATTCACGATGTACTTCTAAATCGCTTGCTATTCCTATAAACACGTGGCAGGCCCCTATTGGTTGAGTACAACTGTCGACGCTGACTTCGTATCTCGCGAATTTTGAACAGTCCCGCCTTTTTCACTCTTTTTACACAAAAACCACATGTTTTGAACCAACCATTTCTACTATTCATCTTCTCTCTCTCTCTCTCTCTCCCTTTGAATCTCCATTCTTGCAACCTTAGCACCTGCAAAGCTCGTGTTTTTTTCTGATATTGTTTCCATCTTCAGTTATCTCATTCTGAACTGGTATGTGGCTCAAATTTGCTTCCTTTCCGTTCATTCTGTGAATATACATAATGTAGATACATATATGCTCATATATATTACTAAACATAGTCTGCAGTTTTGTTGAATATGGGAAGAACAGATAGTACGCAAGAACCAGACCCCCAATTCACAGGTTTGTGCTTAAGAACACACCTTCTAGATTCAAAAATCATGAATGTTGAATCTAGAATCGTGATGTGGCCGGGCTAAAAACCTGTTTGGATGACTATAGGCTTAGGTACAACCAAACTAGGGAACTCATCAGGTGTGCACCCAACCAAACTGGATAACTCTTCAAATGACCGAACTAAAACTTCATGCCAAACCTTTAGTTTCATTTAGCCGAGCTAAAATCCTTTGAACCAACCGAACTAAGAACAGACAGTATTCCAGATAGCCGAGCTAGGCTTTTGATTATTTTGCCTTTGTACTTAGCACGGTCCAACGATCTGTGCTTAACACTTTTCCTTTTCACTTTGCAGACTGACTTAGGTTGTCCAGGCACTCCTTTGAACGCTTCAACAGAGATACTCCACACCTTCCCAACACCGAGCTAGCACTTCAGGCTAATTTATACGTAACTTAAGTCCACATGGGTAAATATAGGTTTTTAGCAAACTCTCCAGGAGCTATTGCGGAATTCTGCCAGGATTATAACATCCCTGATGACATCCACCTTTCCTTGGCCGAACTAGATACAACCCTATGGGGAAAATCGGGCTTTGTACCTTTTACCGTGCTATCCATTGTTGAAACCGACCTCTGATTCCCAATTCAACCACTTTTATGCGAATTCCTTAGGCAAACTAGGATATGCCCAGCCCAACTTAGCACCAATTCATACAGAATAATAAACGGTATCGCCGAGCTAAACTACTGACTTGGCCTCAATCTCGGTTTAGCCGAGCTATTTCACCAGTACTCTTTAGGCCAGAACGAAGATGGCTGGGTTTATTATTTAAGAATAAGATACCGCCGAGAGAAAATAATAAAAAACACACCAGACAAAGATGTAAATAACGATGATTTTTTCTGGGTCTCGGGCAACTTTGAGGACCAGGAAGCCCAAATACCAGGAGACCGCATCAACTGGAATAAAGGAGTAGCCGGTATAATTACCTCGGCTTAGTTTTGTGCTTTCTTTTACTCTGTTGGTCACACTTTGAACCATGCTAACCACTGTCTTTTTCCTTTATGCAGACTTGAACCATTTGAAGTCGCTGTATAGTTACCCCAACCTAGACGCACTCCACGCCGCACTACGATACCGCGATAGAGGTTGGGTCGAGCTACTCAATTTTGAACCGACGTATAGATACAACAGCAGGAGGAAGACAAGGGTGACAAATTTCCTCCTTGAACCCTCACCAGAACCAAATCCAACCTTGCCTCAAATCAATTTGATCCCACTAACTGCAGAACAAGAAATGGCTAAGAAGAGAGTAATAAAAGCCCTCATCACTGAAACAAACCTACCCGAGGTACCACAAGCCCGCCAAACACAAGA